TTTGCATATATACCTAGGGCCTTCCTAGTCTTATCTATATTCTATGTATCCTTATTGTGTATACCTAGCTTAACACGGAGCTACTTATAGAGCTAAAGAAACTTATATATTGCCTCCTAAGTTACTCCCTTAGCTCTTGTAGCCTCAATATTTCTACCTATTATAGAGGCAACGCGTGGGTTGCGTTTAATAAAGTAGGATATCTAGTGTTTACCTACTAATGCGTGGTCGCCGTTTATCCTAAGGATTTAATTCGCTATTTCTCATGTATGAGCGTAAGAAGGAGGAAACCCACGCGTGTCCTCTTTAAGTATCCATTATATGAGAAAGTCCTCTTGTTGTGGAGTTAATTATTGCTGGTGTATATGGCTGTTTTGCCAGTTTTGTGAACCGCGTACGCGCCTAGAGAGCGTGGCTAGGGGGATGTTGTATGCCTTTGCAGTAGCTCGTTGACTAGGAAAAACGCCAGCATTAAGATCACTAATAGCTGCTTGAAATGCAGCCTCACGGTTGGCCAATTTGGCAGGGTGGATGTGGAGATATCGCGATTATTTAAAGGGTGGAGGATTTCTGCGTAGTGTCTTATATCCCCGGGTGTCTCGGAACCCTATGCGCTAGCTTATTAGAGTTGTTTTCGTGTGGGGGTATTAGCGTGTTAGGTTGGATAGCCACTATGGCTATATAAATAACCTTGGCCTACTTGCCTCCTATTTTCTTATTTAGATAGTTGGCCTTAAAGTGTCCCTTATCTTTATAAGTTAGGCACGCCTTATCCCTAAAGCACTATTATTAGATATCGTCCTATTTCTTTTAATATACCAATTATTTATTCTTGGCCTAGGCTTTATCTCCTATAATAACATCTCTATCTTAGTCTTAATATTCTTGTTAATGTCTCTTAGTGTTAGCCTTTTATCTAAAGGTAGGCTTCCCTAATTCCTTCTTTTCTATCTAGTATTTATAGAGCCTATTATCTACTTATACTATAAGTTTAATTAGTTTATCTAAGTTATTAGCCTTATTATAGTGTACTAGTTCATCCTTAATAATCTCCTTAAGGCTATTATAGTACACGGCCTATAATAGTGCATTATCCTAATTAATTCTTACCTAGAGTTATTAGAATTCCGCTAAGTAGGTACTTACCAACTTAGTTTACCTAAGGTGTTGGATTTATTACTTAGCCTATTATTTCTTATCTACTTCTCTAAATATAACCTATATTTATTCCTAGAAGG